TTGTCACAGGTCTGGCTCAAGAAAGTGTTCAGTGAAAGTTGTATAAGGAAAAGGTGGGACTGTGTGGACCTATTGTGTGTCAGGTGCTCTGCTCCACATTGAAAATACAACGGTGAACCAAGATGCTCCCTATCTCCTCGAGGTGGCTCTGGTGGGGAGAGGGTGTGAATGAGTCAGCGTGTGAATGGAGAATGGACCGGTGCTGAGGCCAGCTGGGTCTAGCTGGGTAGGTAGACCCGTTAACAGGTGATCACGATTTGTGATAAGCTTGTTCTGGGTGCTCCTCAGAGCCATAGGGAGCCAGGCACCTGGTGAGAAAGGGCTCCTGAGCTGAGCTTTGAGGTGAGGGGAAGCCAGTGGACGCAGGGGAGGGTCCAGCAGGTGGAGTGAGGCTGGCAGGCTCGGCTGAGGAGGTGGAGCAGCTCGGTGGGGCTGAGGCCAAGGGCACAGGTGGGTGAGGCTGAAGGGGGAGGGGCCGGACCCTCTGAGGACTGCAAGGACGGGGCCCTGAGGGGAGCAAGGCTCAGAAGGGAGAAGGCCCTTGAGCATCAGGGGTGGGTGGAGCAGCCCACTCCAGGCTGAAGGCTGGCCCTTGGCTTGGGTGGGATGGGTCAGCGGGGATGAACCCGAAGGTCCCCTAGCACCAGAGGAAGGCCGAGGAAGCTGATAGGGCAGGCTGGTGGCATTTCTCAGAGACAGCTGACGTCAGGGTGTGTGTATTTGGAGTCCACCGAGAAGGATGGACGGGGTGGGAGAGGATTGCTCTTAAAGGCCTGAACCATGCTCACAGAAGAATCGAGAAGCGTCTTCTCCACAGAGTGAGCTGACACCCAGGAAACTCAGGCTCTTTCCTGAGTCTTTCCTAAGGAACTCGGTGTGACGGAGACCCAGCTGGGCCTGCCATGCTAACCTCACCCTCAGTCTTGGGCCTCAGGTCTGACACCTCCCTTTCCAGCAGCAGGGACAGAACACGAAAGGCCACACTGTCTGCCCGACACCAAAGGCACTGGTCAGGTCCCCGTGGAGGGGTGAAGCTTCCTGAGGGAGGAGGCGAGGTCTGGGAAGTGTGCACAGGGGACAGAGCTTGGAACGGTGGAGGAGCCAGGAAGGGAGGGAGGCAGGGGAGGGCTGGTCCTGCAGATTCCACCTCTCCTTCCCTCTGTGCGGGCTCTGTGATTTCTGACATCTGTCTGCTCATTTACACACAGATCCAGGTGGCACGCCTGCACGACAGCACTGTGGTCAGCACTGGGCAGGTGCTGTGGGAACAGGACAGTCAAGGACCTTGCCTGCATGCGGCCACAGGGGTGGAGGGAGGGTGACCCTTCGTGAACAAGTAAACTACCACCAAGCAAGTCATTCAGACCACGGCAGAGATGGTGCCTGGGAGGGGATCAGGGTGGCTGCCCTCAGGGGGCCCTGGGGCTAGGATCTGAGCAGGAGAAGGAGCTGGCTGTGTGGATTTTCCCTAAGAGGGGCTGGGCTCCTGTCCAGGGCCCATCCATGCCTACTGCTTGTGCAGTTCACAGAAGGCCCCAGGTAACAAGGACAGTGGGGTGGCTTGGTGACTGAGCACATAGGCAGGCAGAAATGGGTGCTTGAGGTGCAGCCTCAAGCCCCCCCCCACCCCGCGTCTCCCCATCCCTGGTCTGGCTGTGGGAACTAGTGTGCCTCTGATTTGTTGTCCCTTCTACCCGGTGACAATACTGGATTCAAAAGGAAATAATTCTATGCAAAAGGAATGGCAAGCCACTGAGGTGGTGAGACGCAGAGGGGGCCACGAGGGGGCCACGATCGCAGGGAGAGGAAGGCTTAAGGTGACTGAGCAAGACCTACCCAGGCATCATGGTTCTGGGAGGGGAAGCCACAGGCTAAGATGGCGAGCAGTGAGATGTGTGTTCAGAGCTTCTGCCCAGTTTCAAGTCAGGTTGGTCTTTGTGGAGTTTTTGCGTGTTGGCTTTGCTACTGAGTTGTTTGAGTTCCTTATACATTTTGGATATTAACCCCTTATCAGACGTGTGGTTTGCAGACCTCTTCCCCCATCCTGTAAGTAGGGTGTCCCTTCTGATTGTCTCTTTTAGTCTGACATAATCTCTTGTCTATTTTTGCTTTTATTGCTGGCCTTTCTGAGGTCTTATCCAAAATACCTTTTCCAGATATTGTATATCAAAAGTATGTACAATTATTATATGTCAATCAAAAAATAAAATGAGCCAGGCTGTAGCGCACGCCTATAATCCCAATGGCTCAGGAGGCTGAGACCAGAGGATCATGAGTTCAAAGCCAACCTCAACAGTGAGGCACTAAGCAACTCAGTGAGACCCTGTCTCTAAATAAAATATAAAACAGGGCTGGGGATGTGGCTCAGTGGTCGATTGCCCCTGAGTTCAATCCCTGTTACTCTCCCCCTACCAAAAAAGAAACTCAAAAAAATTTCAAGAAGAGTTCAGATGGTTTCATGGGGCTGGAGGGACAAAGCAAGTTCAAGGCTAGCCAAAGAGGGCCCTAGTAAACACTCTAGCCCTGAAGAGCTATGCTCTAAGTAAGGATAAAGACTAAACAAGATTCACACCCACTTTAGTAAAGGCTGAACCCAGCAATAAATCAGTTTGATTCCAGACAGGATTCAGGTAAACTCCCCTACCTTAACTGCCTGCCAGAAACACATATATTCTCTGTGGAGTAAGACATTATCATATGGAGCCTCAAATAATCTCTATCATTTTTATGACTTAATATGGTGTTTGATAAAAAAAAAACCCAGGAATTTAAAATCCAATGACCAAAAACCAAGAAAATATTTTCCCATCATCATAATGGTATTGAAAATAACTCTGATTGATATGTAGTAGAAAAAACTCTGAAGAAATTCTGGATAAAATTCATGAGAATGGAAATGGAAATTCTAGAATTGAAAAATACAGCTGGAATTAAAAATTCAATAAAGGAGCTCATGTGGATCTGACTTCTGTTACTGTTAAAACACCTGAAATCATCAAGTTAGAAAGACAAGAGGGTTGTTTTGGTCCACAGTTTTAGAGGTTTCCATCCAAGGTCAGGGGTCACACTGCTTCTGGACCTGTGGTGGGGAAGAGTGGAGTAGAGTCACTCACCCTAGGCTGGGATGTGATGAAGAGAAAGGGGCTGGGCCCACAGTTCTTCCAGAACATACCCCCAATTACAGAAAACCCCCCACTGGCCACACCTCCCAGAGGTTCCACCACCTCCTAAGGACATCTTACTGGGGACCAAGACTTTAACACTAGGGCCTTTGGGGATGGTCCAGACCCAAACTCTAGCAGGGCTTAATAGCAGATTAGATAGTTTTGAAGAAGAGACTAGTTAACTGGTGCACAACCAGTAGAAAATAACCAGACCCTAGCAATGAGTGGAACAAGGACAGACGCCTCGCAGAGGGGCGTGAGAGATACACAAAGCAGAGTGACAAGACTGAATGTGTGTAGCAGGACCTTAGAAGAGGAGAGAGAGCAAAGCAGCAATGGGTAACTAAGCAACGGCCTAGAACTCGGCAGCTCCAACAAAGGGCTTCCGGAAGCACCATTAAGCCCAAGCAGAGCAATGCCAAGAAAACCTCTTCCAGCCCATCACAGTGACACCTCCAAAAGCAGAGGCACAAGGTCAATCTGCAAAAGAGGCAGAGGGAAAAAAAGATGACTGACCTGAAACAGGTAGTGACACTCTGACAGCTGAGTTCTCAACAGAAATAGATGGACCCCGACTGAACATTCTTCCATGTAGAATTCTTCAACTTTATAATGGTGCAAAATCAACAGATGGCCAGCGGAAACCACGCTGAATTCTGGTCTTCTCTTGCCCCAGCAGTGTGTGGTGTGGACCACGCATGGTCAGGATGAACTGCCGTGCTCCAGGGCACAGCGTGTTGCTGGGCCGTGATGCCTGGTGGGCCAGATGAACAGGATTAAGTGCTTTTTGGACTTAAGATATTTTCAACATATAACGGGTTTAACGGGGTGTAAGGGTAACCCCATCATGAGTCAAGGGACATCTTTACCAGAAACCAGAAAATCGTAGCTTTAAGGTGTTGAAAGAAAATAATGGCTACCTTGGATTCAATGTGCAGCAAAACATTCTTTAAAAATTCAGTTGAAAATATGTATTAGATAAAATCTAAGCTAACTCATCACCAGCAGGATCATACTAAAGTGAAAACTAAGGTGGCGTGAGAGTCAGCTTTGGTCACGATGACAAATATCTGGAGTGAACAACTTAAAATGAAGAGTTTATTTTGGCTCCTGGGTACAGAGGTTTCAGTCCGTGGTCCCCGGACCATCGCTTTGGGACCTGTGTTGAGGCAGAACATCACGTGGGGAGTCTGTGATGAAGCTGAGCTGCTCACCTCAGGTGTCCAGGAAGCAGAGCAAGCAAGAGGAGCTAGGGTCCATTGTCCTCTTCTAGGGCACGCCCCTAGGACCTGACCGCCTTCCCTGAGGCCCCACCTCTTAAAGGCCCCACCCCCAACAGTGCCACTGGCTGGCAAGCAAGCCTTTAGTACAGAAGCCTTTGGGAGCGTTAAGGTGGCACTTCAGGCACAGGGAAAATGACCCCACTGGAAAGCATGGATGGGTGATAATGAATGAAAGGCAGTGGGAGGGGTGAGAGGTCAGTGAACCCAGGCGAATGCTGGCCATATGAAGTGATGGCCTTTCTGCTCCAGCCCCTCCTACCCCTGCTCAACCAACGGTCCTGCCCCCCAGCATTGGCCCCGCCCACCCGCGCAGCGCTCTGCGCCCCAACACAGAGGAACCCCCTCTGCTTTCCACCCCCAGCGGTCCCGCCCCAGCCCTACAGTGGCCCCGCCCCAGCCCAGCAGTGACCCCGCCCACCTGCGCAGCGCCCCGCCTTCCCACAGAGGAACCCCGTCTTTCCACCCCCAGTGGCCCCGCCCCATCCCTGCAGTGGCCCCGCCCACTCCCCCACAGAGGAACACCCTCCCCTGCCTACCCCCACCCCTGGGCCGCGCGACAGAGTAAGATGGCGCCAGCGGGCCGCGGGGAGCGGCGGACTCCAGCGCGCTTCGTCTACGTGACCCGCTTCGGCTCGCACCAGTGTGGCTGCGTGTTGCAGCTGGGTGGCCCTCGGGTTTCCGGCCGCGGATGGTCAAGGCCCGAGACCCGCGGCGGCCCAAAGGAACCGCGGGAGGCGGCGGCAGGGTTCCTGAGCGGCGGCGAGCTGCCCGCGGGTCCCGAGCGCAGGGTCCCCGCGGGCCGTGCCGGCAGCTCCCGGCTGCGGGCGTCGAGCGCGCCAGGCCGCCCCGGCCCTGCAGGTGGCGTGGCGCGCGCATGCGGGCGGGCGGGCTCCTCGGCGCCGCCACGTGCCGCGGCGGTCACTTCCCGTCCCCGCTGCTGCGAGCCATTTTGCCAGGCAGCCGCCCCTCAGCCTCCTGCCAGTTCCCCTGTCCCCCGTCCTGTCCCCCGTCCTGTCCCCCGTCCTGTGGGTCCTCCGCCTCCCAGGCGGTCCTGCGGGCCGACTGCTCTCTCTGTCCACTCCCTTCCCCGCCGCGGTTCTGTCAGCCAGCGCGCGGTCACCCCCTGTCGGCCCTCCTGGCAGCCAGCCTTCCTGTGGCTTAGCTCTGCCGGTCACTCGCCCGTCAGCCAGCCCTCGCGGCAGCCAGCCCTCGGGTCCCCATCCCCGGGATGACTCAGTGGCTCCGTCGGTCTGGAACCCGCATGGCCGCCGGCAGGGGTTTGGGCCCGCGGTGCCGCCCTGTGCCACAGGCGCGGTAGCCCCTAGTTTTTGGAGATCTGCTGCCCCGTCCTCTTGACGAGTTACCTCGTATTCAGTCTGTTTTAAAAAGCTACAATTTTGATTAACTGATAGATATTTTGTTTTTAGTCTCTTCATCATTAGTTTCAGCGCACCTGTATTTCTTTTCCTGTTATTTCCGTAGGGTTTCTTTGTTCTTTTAATGGATTTTTTTTAAGCAGGAGATTTCAGTGATAGTGAATTTTTAAAATCACTATTTAAATATTTCCCTTAGATTCTAATATATATTGTTTCCATTGTCACTTTTTAAAAGTATCCATTAAATACTTACACCTCACTCTCCGTGGGGAATAAAGATGAATTATTTATCCATCCAGTAGCATTTTTTTAGCATCTATCACACTGTGGTGGGCACTTGGCTAGTGACAAAGATGGGTCATATATTCAGCACTTGAAGGACTTATACGTGAATTATGAGGATTTATGCTAGTAGCTGTGAGTGCTGGCAGAGGGACCTCAACCAGGCTTTGATAATCAAGTTCAAAGAAAGAAGAGACATAGAGGCAGAAAATCAAGGCAACTGAATAGAAAAGTTTCTAATGGGATAGTAGAAATCCTCAGGCTTTGAAGTCAAAGACAACCTTGGCTTTGTCTTTTATTAGTAGGGTAATACTGGTTGTGTTTGTAACTACTCTGATCCACAATTTTTGATTCTGTAAAATGGAGTTAATATTTCCTACCTAAGTGAAATAATACATAAAAAATGCCTGGCACACAATAAATGCCCTGACTATGTGGACACATAGAGCAGAGAAAGCTAGAAGGCAACAGGTGACTTAGTCCAGTGTCTAGTATATGGTAGGTACATACCCATATTTATTGCATAAATGAAAAATAAGTTTTGGATCAGATTGTGGAATGTTTGTCATTTTTATCATAATTAAAGATTTTTGCATAATGGAGTAAAATTATCAGGGACAGGTTTATTTCTGGAAGATAAGTTTGTTAACTGTAAGATGTACTGGAGTTCAGAGATCCAGGAACAGTGAGATCAGGCAATCTTCTAACATTTCTTTTTTCTTTTCTTTTTGGAACAAGGAACGGAACCCAGGTAACCTCTGAGCTACACCTTAGCCCTTTTATAATTTATTTTTATTTTGAGGCAGGGTCTCTTTAAATTGCTTAGGGCCTCACCAAGTTGCTATAGCTACCTTTGAACTTGTGATCCTCCTGCTATAACCTCCCAAGTCACTGAGATTACAGGTGTGTGCCACGGCACCTGGCCTAACATTCCAGAGAAGACTAATAAATCAGGCTGGCTTTTTGTCTACACAGAGTTTGGGAGATATATCCATAAATTATAAATAAAAGAGGATTGAATTCTATTGTGGAAGTGCTATACTATTTTGGAAGTGTTGAATAACTTGGGGGTGAGAGAATCAAGGACAGCTTGATGGTGGTGGAAGTTCCTTGTGATATCTATGTGGAGCTGAGATAGGGACAAAGGACACTTGGGAGGAAATGTGGACAAGTTATTGAATATGGATCAGCAATGGGCAGTAATTAGGTAAAACTTTAAATACAGTTTGGGTGGAGTGTGTAGAAAGAGGAGTAGAGAAAGGTTTGATGGACAAGTTGGGGCAAAAATCCATGGTGTACACTGGAGTTAGCCTCAGTGTGGTACAAAAATTAAGTGGAAGAAATATTTTTGCCTGTTTTGTACATTCTCTCTTTTGCTGTTTTTTTGAGACAGGGTCTCAACTAAGTTGTTTCTTGGGGCCTCACTAAACTGCTGAGGCTGGTCTTGAACTTGCAATCCTTGTGGCTCAATCTCCTGAGCTGATGGGATCATAGGCACGTACCAAAATGCCAGGCTATATTTCTTACTATACCTTAGATCTGCAAGTAATTACAGACAAACTTGATGGCTCCTATCCTAGCTTCAAGAAGTATAGGTATAGGCTGGATAACACTTAGACAGGAAATTTTGGGAATGATGCAAATATAATGTTCTAAATATTGAAGGCATTTAGAAGAAAGATTAAACATGGGAATGTAAAGAGCAGAGTTTCCCAAACTTAATTTTCTATGTCATATCTGTATTATCATCTATACTATTACTTAATACGTTTATTTAAATAGGTACATGATCCTTTTTAATTAAATTTGTTTTTAGAACACCTTACATCATTACCACACTGGAAAACCTATACTATTTGCCATAAATAGAAATTTATTAAAAATAAATCTAATAAAGGCCAAAAAAATAAAGAATTCTAAATAAGTAGGTTGTCTATGTTCATAAAGGGAAATTTGCAAGACTTAGAGAATTCTAAATGGCATGCTTGTGCCAAACTCAGACCTCCTCCTTGATATAATTAAGAGATTGAAAAGGAATTGGGGAAGGGGATATTTCTCACTGTGTGAATTATTGTCCTTTAGTACTGTGTCTGTGCCTCACTTATATCAGTGACATGTACCTCACCAGTTGGAAAGTGTCATTTTAGAGCTTATTCTAGATCATTCAACAAATGGAACAATTAGAAACTGAATCTCTAGGGAAGAATAAATAATCAAGTAAATAATGTGATAAATCCTGTGTAACTGAGCATTAGTGGCTTTGTGAGATCAGAGACTACATCCTGCAAAGCTAACTATGAAATGTGTAGAAAAGATTCAGGTGGAGTGATGGTGGGTCAGGGCTGAAATGGGGAAGGCTAGGGGACGCTGTAGAAAAGGAGAGCAAATGCAAAGGCTTTTAGGGAACACACATTGTCTATGATTTGTCTTTGGACACAAGCCCTTTGGTTTTCTTCTGTTAACTTTGGGAAGGCCACAATGCTGGTTCAGTGAATGGAGTCAGTAAGCTTATTCATTCTGTAAAACCTCCCCCAACTTAGCCGATTTTTCAACTTTATGATACCTTGGTAGTTTATGATAACATGGTAGGACACTTGCAAGTGCTGCTGGACAGTAACAGGGAGCTATGGCTCTCAGTCAATCGTGGTAAACAGGTACCCTACAGTGTATTGTATTGCCAGTGTTTTTGCATCCCATCGTGATAATGAAACATCCATCTCTGTGTGTATGTGAGATATCCAACACTTTATTACAAAGTGGGCTTTGTTTCAGGAGATTTTGCTCAACTGTGAGCTAATGGAAGTGCAGAGCCTGTTTAAGGTAGGCCAGGCTAAGCTATGATATAGTGTAGATTAGGTATAGTAAATTCATTAGTGACTTGTATATTTTCTAATTATGATGGGTTTAATCTGGATATAAGCCCCTCATAAGTCAAGGAGCCCTCTATAATATTACAGATGAAGAGATGAATGAGCCACACATGGCCACCACCCTCAGAGCCAGATCCTCCCAGAGGTAACAGATTGCAGAAAATTGATGTAAAAGTGTGCTAAGCACAGTGCAGGAGGTCTGGGAGCCAGTGCTGTATGTGGGGCTGTGTCTTTGAAGGAAGGCTGTGGAGAGGAGGTGACATGTGAGTTGAGTGTCGAAGGATGGGCAGAATTCACCTGGGGTATGTGTGTATGCACACATGTGTGCCTGGTAGGGAGGCATGTTCAGAAGCTGGGAGGGTTATGAGTGAGACACACTGGAGGAAGCACAGGGGATTGTGTGGTGGGAAACACAAGCTGTGTCTGGAGGGCCTGGGAGAGGAGGGAGGCTGTGGAACAGCAGCAAGATGTGGTTTCTTGTATTTATTCTGTTGTTGGCCCTTTGGGGACTCACAAATCAGAAAGGGGAGAAGATGGAATAAGTGAATGATTTCCTAGGTTACCTACAGGGTTGTTCACTTTCAGGTTTCTTGGTTTTTTTCAGCATATTGTTAACTAAATGGTAAAGTAGTATTATTTAATGATCAGAAATATACCAACAAGTGTAAAAATTCTCCAAAAGACCTTAAGAGACATTTCTGAGTTCTCTATGTTAAGGTTAGTGAATTCTTTAAAATATGTACTGACTTTGATATGTTTTTACTCTTTTAAAAAATTAGGTGTCATTCAGAAAGATGCAGCTAAAAAGTTTGATTTTCCTATACCAGTGAATGAAGCCTCCAAAATAATGAAAAAAAGGAAAAAGGTATATTATTGTAAAGGGGAGTGAGCAATAGTTTGAACTTTAGATTGAAGTTCAAAGTGTGTGAAGATATTCAAGTCAGTGAAAACAGTTCCAATAAAGTAATTTAATTTTCTGAAATGAGAAAATAGAAGTAATTTGGCAGAAATGGAAGTAAGCTTGGATATATTTATTAACCATGAAGAGCAGTCCTTAGAGTATTTGAAGGTATAAAATGCCTTTTGATCAAAATGTAACCCTGGGAGATCTTTTGAAGCATAATCTGTGTTTCATGGAATATAACAAATTGATAGATAATTTGGTATAAAAATAAAATCATGGATTTCATATAAAAGGAAAATTATCTATATCAGTGTCACATAGCTGTTTTCAAAGACAAGGAGTACATGTTAGGCCTCTAGTGGAAAGCTGACAGGGATGAATCTTTACTGCTGCTCTGTTCTCCACCTAGTTGTCCAAATGTCATGGTGCCTTTAATGTTCTAACTAAGTCAAGATCAGGTGCCTTTGATTGCCATTTTAGTTTAATTTAAAGAAATTATTAGTTGATCATGATAAAATTGTATTGTTTCTGATCTTTGAATTTGTTTGATATATAATCCATATGTATATATAAAATAGTATGCAGGGTAACTAACCCTTGCACCATATGTACTTTGAGAGAGCATCTAATCTTCCTACTGCACTAAGAAATATTTCTTCCAAGAACAATTTCCTTTGGGGTAAGGAGAAAAGAGCAACAGCCAATATTTGCTTTGACTGTTGTATGTCAGACATGGAAGTAAGTGCTTTACATATATATTTTTCATCAATCATAATAATTGAGGATGTAAAGATATTTCTGATGAGGTTTCAACACTTACCAATTCCAGATTATGAGTCTAGATCTCATAGTACTCATTCTTATTCTAGTATATTCATGATGTCTAGTAATTTTGTTTTTCTATGTCCTTGAAAAAATATGTAATTCTTAACTAGAATTAAATACATTAAAAATCACATCACTGCCCAATGGTTTAGACATAGAAATTTACTATTTTTTTTAATTGAATGCTTTTGGAACCATTTAGGTTCCAACTTGATGGTCATTGCCTTTGAAAGGAAACTTCATACAGAACAGTTTAAATACTACAGGTGGTGGAATTCTAGGAAGTTGGAAAAGGAGAACAGATAATTCAGTGATCACAGGAAACAATCATATTTAAATTTAGGTGCTAATGTTGCTTATAATGTTGATTGACATGTAATAGTGGGATCATTACCCCTTGCATTCCTACATTCTGTTCAGCATTCCTTAATTGTGCTTATTTTTTAAGGTATCAGTATGGAACAGTGTATACAAAGTCATTTCTAGAATGCTTGAAGAAAATGAAAAATATAGACTCAGGCTGAAATGCCAGAAGTTATCTAGTGAAAGTAAGTTAACACAATTTTTATTGTATTCAAGAAAACTGACTTCTATAAATGGTTTAGTTCACCTTGGAGCATGTTATACTAGTAGTTTTCCTAGTTGTCACATTTAATGTATAGAACTATAGAAGTGAGCTTACTATGTTATCAGCATTCATCATAATTGAAAGCACATGATGTCTTCCAGGAGTAAGTGTAGAGCAGACTGCAGGCATAGGTATAGGAGTGGGTGGGTTGCAGAAAGTGTGTGTTGGCTGGAATTTATGGAGCAAAGGGAACACACTTGTCTGTTAAATGTGAATTTCAATACCAATCACAAAACTCATCCTTATTGATGAAGAAAAACATTTTAACTCTAGTATAAAATTATGCATTCTATTTATGTAGCTTCTTGTGGTCATTTCCTTTCCATGGATGTTGCAGTACAATTTAAGGCACTTAAAACCTGCCTTGGAGTTATGGCCTTGATGTCAGTATTTCATTCCTGGAAAACAGCTCATGAATTAAACCATGTTCTAAAGCCACATCAATAATGAGTTGATATTGTGGTCAGGGAAAAATGTGATGTAATCTACTATGTTTATTATCATAATTGGAAGTTCTGGATTTTTAAAATGTCAAGTTGAATAAAATTAATATAAACAATGTCATATGAATTGGTAAATCAAAATAGTTAATTTATTTGCTGCACATGCATGCTATCATGATGAATGCTGCTATGGGTGCTCAGAATACATAGTCACTTGGTGACAATTTCTGTTTGATAGTCATTAAACTTGTATTTAATTTTGTGAAGAATATTTTAATAAGATAATAAAACAATACCATTTTGTAAGCAATATAAACACTGCAAACTTTTTAATGTTCATATAATATTGCATCAATAATAGCATAAATTGTTTGCAATGGTGGCATATAAACCAATGTTCAGATTCATGATATTCTTTTTCATGTATCTAGTAAAGGACAATAAAGAGGAAGAGGGATTAGGAGCAAGGAAAGTGGTCAGAGATTGTTTAAAAGAAAATGATGTTTGAATAGGCAGAATAGTGTGCAGGAACACTGGGCATTGTTCAGAATGATAATCCAGGTGTATGACCTTGAACTTGGCAGGTTCTTTTGTGCCTCAGCAAAAGGCCTTCTATTAAACATAAAGTAAGCTTGTAAAGATTATTTAACAACTTAATTTGTTTTGTTTTTCAGAAATAGTTTCTAATAAACAAAAAGGTATCCTTGTAATTTATTAGTTCACATTACAGTCTTAAACTAGATTACAAAATTTTTATAAAACCAATAATGTTTCAAAAATGTTACAACTTTATTCCTTAGTATGTATTTCTTAAAGAGAAAATCAATGCTAAAGACAAACTTGAATTTTTGTGTTTTATATTGTTTCTAGACTCAGATTACACAAGATGAATCTCATGCTCATCTTTTGGTAAGAATCCATTTAGATAATAACTGTATAGATTTTTCCTTGCCTTTTAATATATATCCACTGATAGTTCCAGCTTACTTATTTCCTTAATCCAGTATTTGGCACTCCTTAAGTATTTGTTGACATTTAAAACTTCATTTAGGTTCTTCTCATTAAACTATTGAAACCACTCCCCCAATGGTCCATTTTTTTCTTCTGCTTCCTTTTATTCATATTTCCAGTTATTTCTCTTTTTCTTTGAAAGTGCTGTCACATTTAATGCTATCTTTCTATTATAGCTCCTTCAACATTTTCTTTTCTCTTGTGTCCTGAAGACTGTCATGGTTCTCATTCTGCCTCTTTGACTGTATTTTCTGTGTATTTTTAATGTGCCCCTTTTGCTTTTCTAGGAATAACTGTCAGACCGGTGCTCTCCTTACATTCACTTTCAGATAACATACTGATATTTATTTATAGCTCTCCAGTTACTTCTTTTAGGTATATGACTTAAATCTCTATTCTATCTCTGACCTCTGATTTTCTTTAAGCTATTCCATAGTTACTTTTGATATCCCAGGTTTTAAACTGACCATCTTGTTCTTTTTTATTTTTAACAATCATGTCCCTGGTTTCTTAATAATTTAGACTCATTAAGCTCCTAAAGAGAGATTACATACAGTTTTATGGGAATTGAAAAATAATAGAGGAGGTAAGACAGGCCTTTGAAAATAAAAATTAGATTTTTATAAGTGGGACTGTGAAGAGGAGCATATACCTTAGATAGGAACATAAGCAAATTGATGGACTCCAACAGAATGTTGAGTGTATTAGGCAGCTTTTTGTTGCTGTGAAAAACACCCAAGAAAAACAACTTGAGAAAAGTTTTATTTTGGCCCATGGTTTCAGAGGTTTCTCTCTGTGGTTGACTGGCTTCTTTGCTTTGGTGAGACAGAATCCAATGGCAGAAAGGCATGGTGTGTGAACGCTGCTCACCTCAGGGCAGCTGGGCACAGAGAGGGAAGGAGGAAAGGGCCGGGGAAGGCACACCCCCAGTAACCTACTTCCTCCACTAGGTTGCCCTTAAAGTTTCCACCTCCCAATGGTGCCACCAGCCTCTAAGCCAGTGCTCCAGGCTACAGCCCTGGCGAGCCAGTTGCTTCTTAAGAGTCTCGCTTCTGAACACTGCTGCATTGGGCACCAAGCCTTCAACATGTAAGCCTTTGGGCGACATTCCAGGTCCAAACCACAGCATTTAGGGAATGTATAGTTTCATTAAAGATTACTTAAGATAGTATGATTAAAGAAAGATGTAAAAAAACCCTAAGATTGTATTTCAAAGAGTCTCACTTAGCTGCTAGGCAAGGATCTGTAGTCTGTTTAGCAGGTAATGAAGAAGCATGGACCACTTATTTTAAATGATTTCAAATGTTCAGGAAAGTTGCAAGAAGAAAGAACTCTATTATTTATCCAGATCCACCAATTTTAGCATCTTTCCACATTTGCTTTCCTATCCTTTCTCTGTGTATGAAACTATTACCCCTAATACTTTAATATGTATGCCCTAAAAAAGTGTATCTTTTGTATAACCACACTATAATTATGGAATTCAGGAAATATGACATTAATATAAAACCATTATATAATTTATATTCTGATTGTTTTCCATTGCCTCAAATGAGTCTAATGGTAGTTTTTTCTATGTACCAAGTCCAGTCCAGGATCATGTATTGTATTTAGTTGTCAAATATCTTCTTAAATCTGTAACAATTCTTTAACCTTTCTTTTTACTTCATGATTGTGAGAGGCCAATCTAGCATGTGACCATGTTTGACTCCCCTGCTGAATGGTATGGCATCCGGCCATCACGCTGCTGGATAGTCCCAGTCTTCTAGGGTGCGATCAACTGTGTCTTCGTGCAAGGGGCGTGTCTCTCCACATCCCCAGGGATCCAATCACCTCACCTGTCCTTGTAACCCTGCTCCCCTTGACCCTCATTGGACTGGGATTTCCTAAAAATTTAGATTTCCCCTAATAAAAGCTCGCTCCAAAATGTGTTTGCTCTCTTGCCAGCCTCTCATGTAGTTCCTTGCTCTCCTGTTTGGAGAGCTTGAAGCCAAGGGCAGAGGAGCTGTCCTGGAGCTTGGTTTAAAGGTAAATTGTGTGTCTGTGTTTTATTTCTAACGCCTTGAGAATTTCCCCCGAGTGACCTTAAGTTAGCCATCTCTGCTGGACAGAGACGGCACATGATATTGACATTTTTTTTTTTTAAGGAGTAGACTAGTTAAGTTTCAGATTATTCCTCTGGACTTGCTGGTACTTTGTTACTATTTGATTTATGTTATGCATTTTGACTGGAACTTTATATTAGTAAAGTTACTTCTCAAAGTATCATATCTGGAGTCATGTGATCTTCATTGATCCTTTATTGACTTGGATCTCTAGGTTAAGTTGCCCATTTATGGTTACAATTTTTCTTTTTGTAATTAATTAATATTCCATGGAAAGATAATAAGAGACTATGCAAATATCTTATTCTTCATCAATATGTAGAACATTTTAAAACAGTGAAGCTATCAGATCTGCATTTTAGAAAGAATCTGTCATTTGTGAAAAGGTTTTCAATGGAGACCAATCAGGAGGTGAAAAAGAAAACTTGTGACTGTCATGGCAATCCAAGTAAAAAGTGAAATGTTCTTGAAGGAAGGTGGAAGGACAGGTAGAGCAGAGACATGATTAGATGTCGGGATCAGAAAGAAGGCACTGAGCTTTGAGAACGAGGAAATAAGAAAGAAGGAGTGGGGAAAAAGAACTCTTTAGTCAATGTATTGGCTTTTATTTTTGAATGTTGAATGTTAGGTGAAGTGAGGGGACCCAGATAAAAATTGCATGCAAGCAATTGAAAGTGTTGAATTGGAGCCAGTGTGATCGATCTGTGCTGCATAAAGGTCATTTGTTGCTCTCACAGTAGGGGCAAAGGAAAGCCTCATTGTGAGATGGAGAGAGGAGACTGCACACCAGGTGGGTTGAGGAGGAAGGGGAGTTTTTAGTTTCAGTTAGAGATTCTAGGGGCTTACTTGGCAGTAAAGAGAGAGCTCACTGAGGGTCAGTGAGAGAAGCACAATGGAGTCTGCAGGAGGTCAAGGGACTGTGCTCATTGAGAGTGAGGGGCATGAACAGTAGGAGGAAGGGAACATGTCAGCTAGGAACTCTAAGCCTTCCAGAACCCGGAAGCAAAGCACAAGTGATGGCAGGTCTGGGCAGTGGGCTTGCGGTGAGTGCCTGCAGTGGCCTGTGACACATGTTTCTGGGACATAGTTCCTGTCCATGGAGCTGATGAAGTCACCAAGGGTATTAGCAGGAGTTGAGTGGAGAAGGAAAGTACGGGCTGTACCTGGAGTCCACCAGAGGCCATGGCTGACCAGAGCAAGCATGTCATTAACACAGTAAGTGCAGGAGTGTCCCGCTGATCTCTACAGTCTAGAATGTCAGAAATGTCAACGAATACTGACTGACATGATGTTTTATTTTATTAATAAGATTAAATTTTGTTACCTTTCATTTAGGATTAACCTATCTTTGGATTTATTTCCCAGTGAAGATAATGAAGAGTTTAAAGATGGAATGTTAAATGGAATCACAATTATTTGTTAACTTTGTTGTGATTTTGGAATTGGCAATTTAATAGTTCAATGGGAAAACTAGCCTCTTTATAAATTAATAGTATTTTTTTTGCAAGCTGATGCAATTTTTAAACATTGTTATCATATACGTGCAAGTATTATTTTCAGAATTAATACTTTTAAATTAATCTTATACATAAAATTTAATTAGCATATCAACACAATTATGTTTATAATTGGTAACTTTTACCTTTCATTAGTAAGTCTGCAAGTGCTACTTATGCATCTCTTCTTTTAAGTGTAACTTTTAAATTAAACTTGTATTAATTTAAATTATTTTTGGCTTCCTCCCTTTGTTTAAAATTGTGAAGAGCAATAATTATTTTGGATGTTAAAACTAAACTAATTATTACTTAAGCCGTGCTTTCATCCTAAGGATAATTAGCCTGTGTATATGTTTATGATATGCATATATTACAATTGACTCTATAATGATATGGAGTAATTAGGAACATTTTTGAGCAAAGATCAGAGGAGATGCCCTTCTCCATGGCCAGACTCCTAATTAAAAGATACATTATTTTTAAATCATTGAGAGAGAACTTTAGAACTCTGAAACAATTATTTAGAAGTGTTTCCAGTTTAGTTCCTTTATTTTCTACCTAATATTAAGTAGTAATGTTACATTAAGCAGTGTTCTTGGTTTTTTTGCTGGCTTGGGAATTTGGGAGGGAAAGACAGAAGAGGGTTTTCCGTATCAAACCTTTTGTACACTAGCTGCTTCTTTCCCTTGAGGTGGTAGGTCTTTTCCTTTAATAATCCAGATGGGAACATGGATTACATCAATTCCTCGTGGAAGCATTGAGAGGTTGAGCTTCCTTAATTTTCTTACACTGGTGATGCAAAATGGGAATATACAAAATTCTCATTAAACAATAAAAGATGTAAGCACTGTAAAATAATTCACAGTGTTGTTTCTTCCTCTACTTATAACTTACTTGCTTCATAAAAGTCCAATGGCCTAGGATTTGAAGCAGCATGTCTTCTGGTGATTGTTTATCAATCCACTTGTTTTTAGTTGAAGGACATATTGCCTGGGCACATGGCCCAGGTCCTGCCTGTCACATGAGGTCCACAGTTCCCCTGCACACAGAAACATCTAACTTCTTTAAAGTGTGCTGAATAAATTATTAGTATGATAAATCCTTGAGTGAAGTTTCAAATTTTAGCATGTACAACTTAAATGCATTGCAAAATGAGACATGTTTCTATTGTAATTTATGCTGCATAAAGTTTTGTGGTGAAGTTTTAGGTTGCTTCAGTGTAGTTTTTATTTATGTGACTTGTGCAACTTGACATAGTAATATAGTCTGTTTTATCAGGTGTGCTAGTATTCATTAGATTTACAGTATGAATCTAATGCTGGGTACAAACTTAGTTTGTCTCACTGTTCTAGAACCATGGAATAATGAACACTCTCACTGAAATGAATGCTTTAAATATTTTAATTTTTGTTAAATAATTCCTGGTGAAAATGTATTGAAGTCTCTGTTTTCTTAAATATAATAGGGCTTCTTTGATGACATGTTCATTGTATACTGTTGTTTATTTATGATTCTATAATTCTAGCAGGGTTGATGACTCTGATACATTAAAACCTCAGACTACTATATAGTCTTGGCTTCTCTTCATCTGTTTCCAGACTCTCTTTTCTGTGGCCTCCATGAATAGGAATGTCCACTCATTAAATCCGTACCTAATTCTTTATTTCCTCTTAGACTAAAGGCAGCTTATTTTAGCCCAGTAGTCTGGTCCTGTAGCCCTACATTCTTATAAAGGCATCATTAAACATCAGAGAGTCTGCATACACAAGCTTAGGTAGCTTGAGTCGGTTATCAACTTGTCCTCTTGATGCAACCAGGAGATGCAGTAAACACGAGATGTGTGAGGTTGTTACTGGCATAACAGTAGACTTGTATACTTTAAAACAACAACAAAGCATAGTATAGTAAATATATAAACCATTAAAGTTATTATTATTACTGTGCATAATGTATGTGCTATACTTTACTATATTTTTTCTTTTGCAATGCTGGGGATCAAACCTTGGGCCATATGCATGCCTGCATGCACTCTACCACTGAGCTACATCCCCAGCCCTGTGCTGATTTTTATATGATTGGTAGAACAATAGGTTTGTTTATACCAGCATCATCACAAACACGTGAAGAATGCATTGTGTTAGCATGTCTGTGATGTCACTGTTGTGTATGAAATTTGTTGTTGGCCAAGATATCATTATGTGATGTATGATTTTATTTTCATGTTCTGTTTTGGACTCTGTGGTAGATGTTTTATGCTTAGATGTGCAGGGCAGGAAGAGGAGGAAAATGAAAGATTTTAGTGAATACAGAATGGAGAAGAAATATGTCAATATTTCCAATAATCGTTCAGCCATTTATTTCAGATCACTCAGATGATTTCAAATGAACTTTGGAATTATGAGGAAATATCAGTGGGATCTTCTAACACAGAAGTAACGGAAGGTTTTTTTTTTTTTTTTTTTCATCTAATGCAACATGAAGAAAGGCTAACGTTTTAGAAAAGTCTTGAGTAATCTAGGACCCTTCAGGAAACAGGTTTATAAAACAGTAAAAGAATAGTTTAGAACAAGGGAACAGGCTTGAGGGAGCAGGGAGGCTGAAAACTCTGGGAGTGGATGGGGGAGTAGCACTGCACAGCCTTTTACTATGGGGGAACACTTGATGAGGCAGAGGTATGCCACTGGAGTAGTATCTACGTTTCTAAGTGGGGATCATAGCTATGTGCTGGTAGTATACAGAAGGATTCACCTGAATCCTCAGAGTTTGCAAAGGTGGTCTATTCTTAGCTTGTGTTGGAAGGTGGTGCAGGAGCCCCACCTTTAAGGCAAGAGATGTCCTTCTCGGGAACTGCCTCACTTCTCTGTCTAATTAGGATTAAGTCCTAGTGTAACCCAACTGGAAAAGTACTCAGCCAGATAAAGGAAGAAGGAGAGAAAACATAGAAAGCTCTTTAAGAGTTAGTTAGCATGTATTGGCATGAACAAGGGACATATCTGGGATGGATGTTGAGACTGCATGATCAAAGAGGCTAGAATTCAAGCCTATAGATAATCAGTGATCCACGTACTTTGGGACACTTTTTTAGATGCTTGGGAAAAAAAGAATACTTAGGAATATTGATCAAAGGTTCTGAGTTGACATTGATACTTAGAACTGCAAAGCATCTTCTAGGCACCCCTATTAGAATGGAATCTTCTAGGAATGAGGTAATAAATGGAATCCTGACTAAAGTCTGGTGCACAATGCACCCACTGGGTTTATAAACCTACCCAGTAGTCACTTCCCCATTTCCCAGGTATGTGACAGGAGTTGAAGTACCTGGTGGTTGAAGTAACCCC